AGAGAATCCAAGACCAGATCTGTTCAACTACAAAACCCCTGAACTTCAGAGTCATCTTACTCTTCTGGTTCCCTTTGCCTTCCCATTCTCCTTCTCCTTAACATTACACGGACTTTTACCTCTAGCACCTGATACCTACCATATACTGCAACTAAATTATAAATTTTTTTTTTAAGATTTTGTTTATTTATTTGAGAGCAAGGGAGAGAGAACACGTGCACACAAGTGGAGGAAGGGGCAGAGGGACAAGGAGACTCTGCACTGAGTGTGGAGCCCCACATGGGGCTCAATCCCAGGACCCTGAGATCATGACCTGAGCCGAAGTTAGACATTTAACTGACTGAGCCACCCAGGCCTCTAAATTATAACTTACTAACCACAAGATTAGTTGGAGGCTACGGCATGGTTGGAGTCATGGATCAAACCAGGCCCTGACTTGTGTCTGCTTTAAAGTCCGGACGCCTTGATAAGGGGTTAAGGACAGGAAAGTTGAGTAACACTGAGAAAGGGTCTGTGCTACGTGTCGTGTGCTCGCCTACGTGACTTCCCACACGCTCTCCCTACAGAAGGGAACAATGTGGTCAGGGTCATGAATTCTTAGTTGGTCCTTGTTGTTCCTGTACTTTCCATAACCCACTCCCTGGTTGATTGTAACTTCTTGTATCAATAGTAGCTAATGGCATTAGCCGTGACTACCTGGCATCACGAGATTTGTTTGTAGTTAATGTAAACTTCTTATAGGAACTTGCGGTTATCTGACGTATTACTCCTTCTATTGTGGTCTGCCTTATAATTGCTTGTAGGATGTGGAATAAAATCGGCACTGTTGGACATCCTCCTCAGTGCTCCTCCTGCCCCCATCTCTTTGTCTCTTAATTTCTTTTCACCATCCTCTTACCTTCATGTTCCTGGTCGATTTGTCGCACTGGCCATGACGTTCAGCATATTCTCTTTTCCAAGGTATTTAGAACTTTAAAAGAAGATGGAAGCCAGCCCAAGTGGCCAAGGGTGGCACTTACCAAGCATGGACTCTGTCTAATGCCTGTCATTAAGAACATCCTCAAAAAAAAAATAATGCCTGTCATTTAAGAACATCCTCAAAAAACTCTTCTGTTTGGGATCCTAGCCTTCTTTTTACCATGGTTCCCTTTAACAATCTGGAGCAGTTTCTTTAACTTTTCTTAAAATAACACTTTTGGGGAGCCTGGGTGGCTCAGTTGGTTAAGCCTCCCACTCTTGATTTCAGTTCTGGTGGTGATCTCAGGGTCCTGGGATGGAGCCCTGGAGTAGGGGTCTGTGCTCAGTGGGGAACCTGCTTGGGATTCTCTCCCTCTCCCTCTGCCCCTCCCCCTGCACGCTCTCTCTCCCTCTAAAGTGAATAAAGGCATCTTTTTAAAAAAGAGGACAGAAAAAATAACTTTAAATTCATAAAATATATATGATTTCAAAAGAAACTAATTGCCAATTTTTAAATGCAGTTATTAAAATACTTAAGAAAAGATTTGTGATATAGAAATGTATAGGCATTTAAATTCACTAAATAACAAGATGTAACAGTGATTGTATTAACTACTATACTCAAAAATAGTGATATTGAGCTAATGGGTTAACAATTGTATTGCTATACATGTGCACTAGAATGGAACAATTAAATAAATGGATGAGATTGTTAGTCACATTTCTCACTATTTTTTTAAAGATTTTATTTATTTATTTGAGATATATATGGAGAGAGAGAACACGAGCAGGAGCTAGAGGCAGAGGGAGAGGGATAAGCAGACTCCCCACTGAGCAGGGAGCCCAATGCAGGGCTCAATCCCAGGACCCGGGACATGACCTGAGCCCAAGGCAGATGCTTAACCAACTGAGCCACCCTGGTGCCCCTCTTACTATTATTGTAGGCATTTATGGATAAGCAAGGGGAGGAAGCTAAAATGATCTAGGTGTTAATGGATTAGGCTTGAAGGCATTAGTATGAACTCATATTTAGTTCAATTTAAGTACTAGCAGTAACATATAGAATATTGATACATATGTACCCATGTATGAGGAATATATATTTCTTTGCTATCTCAGAGAGCCTAAACAAATGGTACCCCCTTAGCAACCACCACACTGAAAGCCCAGATCTTGCTATTATCATCCTCCAGTAAGAGGAATCAGGGCTTCTTGGGGAAATGGCTGATTCTAGGACTGGGGTAGGAAAATACAAGGTGGGCCTTAGCATGGTGTAATGCCAGTAAATAACAAAGTAATAACACACACCCACAGACATCAAAGGGAGTATGTCAAAGGAGCATAGGCGCCGACAAAAGGAACTTGGAATGGCTAAAGCTTAAACAACTTGAACAACAAAATAAAGTGGTATTGGATTATCACTCGAAATATAAAGTAAATATGCATGACTCTATATTGCTATAAATAAACAATTGCATAAATTAATATTTAGGGTAGAAAAGACAATCTCCTGTGCAGAAGAATTCCAAATACTTTATGTGAATACTCTGCCCTCAAGAAGGTAGAGCATAACTCTCTAATCCTTAGGCATGAGCTTCTCATAGTGACTTCCTTCCAACAAGTATAGTATGGAAAGAAAAGATGGAGGAGTAACTTTATAGTGGAGAAATCTGAGATACTACCTCCGTCAGGTGATCAAGGTCAACATCAATAGTTGAAAATCATTTTGAGGGGCGCCTGGGTGGCTCAGTGGGTTGAAGCCTCTGCCTTCAGCTCAGGTCATGATCTCAGGGTCCTGGGATCGAGCCCCGCATCGGGCTCTCTGCTCAGCAGGAAGCCTGCTTCCTCCTCTCTCTCTGCCTGCCTCTCTGTCTACTTGTGATTTCTGTCAAATAAATAAATAAAATCTTTAAAAAAAAATCATTTTGATAGTATATACTCCTGGCGTGATGTTATGAAAATGACACTTTATCTTGTGGTTGTCTTCCCAATAAACCTTAACCCCAGTCTTATCATGAGAGAAGCATCAGACAGATTACAGTAGTGAGGCACGCTACAAAATTCTTGACCACGACTCCTCAAAACTGTCAAGGTCATCAAAAACAAGAAAAATCTGAGAAACTATCACAGCTCAGAGGATCCTAAGGGGACATGACAACTATAGGTAGCATAGTGTCCTGGACGGGAGCTGGGAAAAGAATTGAAAACCTTAGGTAAAACCTAAGGAAACTGTGCAGACTTTAGTTAATATTAGTGTAGCATTATTGGTTCATTAATCGTAACAAAGGTACTATGCTAATGTAAGCTGTTAATAACAGGAGGAAATTGGGAGTGGAACATATAGGAACGCTATATTATCTCCTTAATTTTTCTGTATATCTAAACCTATTCTAAGAACATATATAATCTATTAAATAAAACAAAAAAAGGTGATAATGATTTAATTGTAACATCAGCATAGTGATTCTTGAGATATCTGTAAAACCTGAAATAGGAAATTATCTGTGATTTCTGTTGGTGACAAAGTCATAGGTACTCCTAATATTATTGTGGTTCATTGTTTGCATTTATATTTAAATTTATAAATTTCAGTTATAGATTAGTAAGACTAAAGATGGAACACTCCCATCCAGATTCTACATACCCTTTGATACAAATTAAGAACCTCGCAGTCTATGGTGATATTAATGGCTTAATTTTACGAAATTGAGACTCAAAGGCATGAATTAGGTTGCTGCAGCTTCCAAACAACATTCATTCTAGGGCCAAGAATTCTTAATGATTTTTTTTGGAATTCTGTTGCTACACTACCTACCAATTTTGGAACTGCTAAACAGAGAGATGGGAGCTCTTCATGGATCAAATGTGCTTTCCTGGCCTTGTGCAATGCTCTGCTTATGCTGCTGTTCAAATCCACAAGATAAAACTGGCTTGGACCTACTGAGGGGAATTCCCAAAGTAAAATTAAATGAGGAAATTCCACTCACACTAAACTCTACTGTCAAAGAACCTCTTTACTTGGAAATGACTTAACAATGGGAGAAAGAGACACTGGTGTCACCATAAAGGGAACAAATCCTAGGCCTTTTCTTCCCTTAAATCCCCACACTGCTCAGCTGGTCGGCAGGAGAAAGAAAGGAAGGGAGGGAGAGAGAGAGGGAAAGGAAGAGACAGAATGGGAGGGCGGGGTTTAATAGCTGGTGCCCATTTAAAGAGGTTGAGAAGGGGCTTATATGTGTATTCGCTTACATTATTCCTAAGGCCAATTCTGATACATCCTTGCGTTTGGGGCGGGGTGGGGGGGGGGATACAGCCATCTGTTACTGTGGATTCTGCTTCTTGGCTTCCAAACGTTATAGCTGTCACCAGAGCAGCCAGCCCAATTGAAGGGTGGGGGGAAGGTGTTAGAGGCAACATCTGTCCACTAAATGCACCACTAAAGAACAGAAAAATCCTGGGGCCAGCCCTCTCTGTTTCCTCGAGTGCTTTCTTTGGTCGGTCCTACTTCTCCACTCCTTTGGGAGTTTCCTGTTCTATTACGTAGGCAAGAGGGTGAGAGGTCCCAGCTTTCATGCTTGTGAGTGGTTTGCATGTGTGTATGCGTTGGGGGAAAGTAAGGCGTGCCTCAAGGGGCTTAGAAAGATCGATTGCCGGTTTAAAACATTTCCGGAGTGTTTGAATGTTTATCTTAAAAAGACAAGCCCCGTCTCAAATTCTGCGAAATGAACAATACTGATAAGAAAAATGAAGAGGGTGGGAAACCCACACAGTCAAATGGAGCTGTCCATGCAGCGGGCGTGACAGGGGAGCTCTCAGAGGAAAGGCGCTATGCAGAGAAGTTTCTCTGGCCCTTCTCTCTCGGTCCACAATCTGGCAACGCTTCCTGCGTAATAGTATTAATAGAAAAGAAACCTAAAACCCGGAGGGGTAGCGGTCGTCGGGCACAGTTTCCAGAAGCCCATACCCGCTGCCGGGAGAGGTCCCTCTCCCCCCGCGACTGGCACAGAATGTGGTGATCCGGCCCGGGGATGACTTCATGCAGCCGGAGCGCGGCGGCGGGAGCAGCTGCTGCAGCCGGCAGGTGGGATTGGGGCCGGTGGAGCTGACCACGCAGTCGGCCCGGCGCGGCGGCACTGCGGCCCCGGGGCAGCGGGCGCTGGGACTCGCGCTGACTGCATCCTGAGAAGGTAAGCAGCCCGGCTATTATTAGCCTCCGCCACGCCGCTTAGTTCTTTTCGCTCGGGTAATAATGGGTTTTGCAATACACAGAGAAGGGAAATATCCTTGCTGCATACTGCAATGGGAAGAGGAGCAACAACTGGAATTGAAATGTTGATCAGCCAAGTGCTTGAGATTGGAGGAGCGGTGTTACTGGGCAAACAAAGAAGGCGGTCAGCCTCTATACTCTTAAAGATAGTCGACCGTTTCAGTGCTAGACTCGCTTAGGCATTGAAGACTCCGAATATGAAATAACTGGGAGTTGCACTTTTATCTTTCTACTTCAGCCTTCACTTGGTTATTTTGTTGTTTTGGAGCAGCAGGTCCTTGGAGGCAGCTTGGGGAACTAATCAGAAATCTCTCCTACCTTTCTCTGTCCTCTCCCTTCCTAGTTATCAAAATTGGTCTGTGCCCATTTCAATGTCAAACACCTACTTCAATACTGAGCCTTTAGAAAAGAGTCTCATATTAGAGGAGAAACTTATCTCCTGGAGTTCAGCTTGGGGTGAGCAGCACTTGTTTCTACCTTATCCCTTCGTTTATCATCTTCTCTCGTCAATTACTTCATTGATTTCCCTGGGATGCCGGGTCCATTCACAGGCCAGATCTTGTCAGATTCAATCCACAACCTCTGTTCCATGACTGATTTTGTCAAGGACCTACAAAGGGCATAGCCCTACACCAGTTTTAGTATTCTCTCTGTATACTCTAACCTGTGTCCTTCCCCCAAATACGTGGCACGAAAAATCCTTCTTTTAACCTAGTACCAACATGGTTCCCGGTAACTTCCTTCGCTGTAGTCGCTGCGGCTACAAGAGAAGAGGATTTCGAGGACAGCAGAATCTGTTGGGGTGTCAGAAAGAGGACCATACTTATATTTTGCTCTCTGTGCATAGGCATAGACGGAACTACGAATGTGAATGTGTCTCTCCAGTTTTTCTTGAAGATTTTTTTTTTTTTTTTTTTTTTTTTGGGCAGCTGGATGGGAGACACCTACCTTGATAGGATTTGAGGTAGGTACTCCCCAAAAAGCAAGCAGTATGTCTGTCCCAGGATTCCCCAATAACCTCGAAAGAGTTTCCAGAGAGGCTTTCCCCACAAGCATTCAGGAAGCCACTGGAGCTGGCCAATCTAAGCCTCAGGTTATTTGAGAATCCTCAAGTTAGTCTTGCCATTTAAGGGTTCTGACCACTTGTTCTAGGATCTCCCCCCACAAACCTCTTGCTACTGAGCTCAAGTGCCTTATTCCTGTTGCCACCTAGGGATGTACATTTGAATAATATGTTCTGAAATGGGTAAGATGGCTGTGATGGGGATTGCAAATGTGCCACTTCACCAACAGAGAGTATTTGCAATAAGCCAGATTAGGGTGTCTGTGTGCCAATACTCTATTTAACAGGGGATCTTTATCTTTAAATTTGAAATGAGACAGTCTGACTCAATAGCCATGTAATTTTATTTTAGCAAATTGAAAGAGGAGCTCAATGAAAAAGAGAGGCAAGGTTTATAGCTAAAATTTTATCTCTGCTTACCTTCCTTTTTAAATACTGCTTTTAGACAAAGACACTAGTTTTGAAAAATCATGTTAATTCTATTATATGCCATTATTGCTTTTCTGAATACAAATTCTTTTTATAAAGTATACTTTAGAAGGATTTGAGTTGGTTTCTTTGTCTCTACCTTTAGTATGAGACAGAGGGAGTGGAGGGGGTAGGCAAATCACACTCCAAGTGGCCCACTCCAGGAACTCTTCCCCTGGATCATGAAAACCTCAGCACCATTTTTTTTTTTTTTTTAGCATGTTGTTGTTATTATGTGTTGAGTGTGGTATGGGTTTGAAATATTAAAATTTCAAGATTCTATAATTTTGAATCAGGCACAGCACACCAAATAGAAAAGGAAACAAAGAGCAAGAACAACAAAACCCTTTATTCTACCACCTTTCTTTACTATCTTAAAATATTTAACTATATAAATAATTATTCTGAATAATAAGTGATAATAAATGTTAATATAATAATTCAGTTTTAAGAAATTATGAAGTACAGATTAGTATAATTAACCTTAGGTATAGTAAAAATTTCTGTAATTTGAGTTTTCTTCATGTTGACTATTAGTGCATGAGAATATCCTAATAATAGTTAGAGATTGAAAGTGTCTATTACTTGGTTTCTGAAGAAACTGAATTCTTTGAGAAGAAATGGGTCAGAATTAGGGGACCAGTACTGCCTAAGCTGGCATCATACCTGCCAGTGATTTTATAGGGGAGATGAATTCACTGAGTTATGGACCTACATTGGAGAAGCCTTTTTGGGAAGAGAGAAAATAAGTTAGAAAATTTAATTTTTTCATTTCAGTGCAACTGAGGAAGATAAATAAATTTAAAGGATTTCTGAATTTGGACTTTATTATATTGAAATAAAACAATTTTTCTGAGAAAATTGTCTAGATTCAGAGCCCTAAGAAGAAATATATGTCTGACTTCATGACTTCATGACTGAAATTGATTTATGACTTTATATCCTTTTCTTTAACTGTTTCCCAGGGAAAGGAAAGATTAATTGCCTGGTGTTCAAAAGATGGAGGAGGAATAAAAAAAAGGGATGTGCACTATTAGATGCTGAATGAACTGCAGACATTTTTGTAGGTTCGACAAGATAGAATGAAGTCAATCTACTGCTTTCTAATCACATAAAAAAAATTCAGTATGGTGGGTGGTCAGTGTTATTAATAACTTAGTACAAATTTAGACATCACAGTTGACCTCATAACAAAAAGGCATTTTCTGACGCTGTCTTACTGCCATTAGCTGCAACTGAAATAGACTTATTTTGAGATTTTGAAAAATGGAAAGAAATAAAAAGTAGAAATAATAAAGCTAAAGAAGTGAATTTCTATTTACCCAGTGTCTCTGCTGAAAATAAGTAGAAAAAGTGCAATTTTGAAAGTTGTCAGTGCTCTCCTAACTGCCAGATTTATGTAATATTTCACCTTTTTCATTATGTCTTATTTTTAAGTTCTCATCCATGTTCTTTTTAAATTAAATATTCATGTTTAAGTATCATTAATAAGTAATATGCATCAGGAACTGAGATATCTCCTTATCTAGTTTCTCACTAATCCCCTTAAGCTATCCTGTGATCAGCCTAAACCAACTGGTCTTTATTTCCAGTTTGTGCCCCATGATGTCACGCCTATATGTCTTCATCTGTTGCTTTCACTCACCCCATATATGTTGAAACCTTGCTCACATCAGACACTTCCTCTTCCATAAAGCTTTCCCCACACCCACCATCCTCATACCAGGTGAGCTTTCTCCCTTGTCTAAATTCCTATTGCACTTTATATCTTGGTCTATTCTTTAGTGTGAACCAATGCCTTGTTCTCCTAAAATAGCTTTGGAGAGCATGTTTGTGACTGACAACCTTTTATTACCTGCAACTCATGGTACAATGCCTAGCTACGTACAGTTCTTCCTTGATTTACAGTGGGTTTACATCCCAATAGACCCATCATAAGTTGAAAATACCCTATGTGAAATGCATTTAATACACCTAACCCACCAAACACCATAGCTTAGCCTAGCCTATCTTAAATGAGCTCAGAACACTTGTATTGGTTTGCAGATGGGCAAAATCATCTAACACGTAGCCTATTTTATGGTAAGTGTTGAATATCTTCATGTAATTTATTGGATACTATATTGAAGGTGAAAAACCAAATTATTACATAGGTATAGAACGGTTGTTAAATGTATCTGTTATTTGCCTCATGACTGTGTGGCTAACTGGGACCTGTGGCTTGCTGCCACTGCCCAGCATCATGAGAGATTACTGTACTTCCTGCTAGCCTGGGAAAAAACCAGTCAGAAATTGAATTGTGGTTTTTACTGAATGTGTATCTCTTTTGCACGATCATGAAGTTGAAAAATCATACATTGAACCATCATAAGTCAGGAAACTTTTGTATATGCATAGTAGACATTCAGCAGTTTGATTTTAGTGAAGAAATTTGTTATTATTTCAGGGTTATATCTCTACCCACTCTTAACCATCAGTCAATTTCAACTCCCAAACTGTGTGCAAGTACTGTTTAGTTTTAAAAATATTTACATAATAATAAATATAGTGAAAGCACATCCAAATAATTATATTCAACAGAAGTTATTGTGAGCTTACAGGTCATTAAATGTATATTAGCTCATATATATTAAAAATATGATAAGCTTAACAAAACAAAACACAACTTTTTAAAAAATTTTATTTATTTATCTGACAGAGAGAGAAAGAGAGAGGGTGCACAAGCGTGCACAAGAGCACACAACGCCAGGGTGGGATGGCAGGCAGGGGGAAGGGGAGAAGCAGGCTTCCTGCTGAGCTAGGAGACCAATGCAGGACTCTATCCCAGGACCCTGGGATCAGGACCTGAGCCAAAGGCAGACGCTTAACTGACTGAGCCACCCATACGTCCCGAAAACAAAACTTCATGTTTTTAAAAAGATTTTATGTATTTATTTGAAAGAGAGAGCATGAGCACAGGTGAGGGGCAGAGGGAGAGGGAGAAGCAGACTCCCTGCTGAGCAGGGAGTCTGTCTCGGGGCTAGATCATAGGACCCTGGGATCATGACCTGAGCCTGAAGGCAACTGCTTAACCAACTAAGCCACCCAGGTGCCCTGAAAACAAAAGTTTAAAGAAGATATTGTATCTACTTTCAACATGCTTGCGTTTTATTGAAAAAGAGAAAGCAGGAGAAGGTGCCTTACATATATAAGCACTTGTCCAGTTTCAAGGCACTCTGCCAGGTACGTTCATCCGTGAAATCAAATTGCAGCCTTCTACTCTATGCTAATTTTACTTTAGGAAACTGAGACTCAAAGATTCACCTAAATGTTTAGCAGACATTCTATCCATGTTACCATGCTGCTCTTTGAAGTGTTAAGAGTGAAGGAAGGCATTATAAAAACACAAA